ATGACTAGTGTTAAACAATTCAAACAGGACAACCAACGGTCTAATCTATAGAAAAAACGAGAAACGATTTGTTTGAATCAGAATGGTTTTTTTTTTAGAAAGTATGATTTATACCTCCCTAAAACATGATACTTGTATCTACGTTGGCCATACTTTTTTTTATAAAACAAAGCAGGACCAACTCTTTCCACTCGTCTTTTAGTTTGGAATGGGGAATACTTGTGAAATTGTAGAGAAGTCAAATGTTTTAATACTACTGAAAGATGAAAGAGTTTTAGATTGTATGTACACTAAAAGATTTTTTGAACCCGGGCTTTGATTGCTGATAGATAAAGGCAACAGTAGTATACCGCTGTTCAATAGTCATAAATTGATTAAGCAGAAACAAATTCGGGTCAAAAACCGAGGGAAACACATAAAAAATTGGTGTTAATTATTTAGAATGAGGTTTCATGGAGGACTTGGAAGACCCAGTAATATACCGGTGTTTGTAAGGACACTTATATAGTTAAGTTATCCAATACATTAATTATTTTCAGCACGATAATTGATGCATTTTCAATTTGGTGCAGCATATCACGATCTTGTGCAGAAGCAAAATATAGATATTAATTGGTAGAATCGAGAATGGAAACAAGATCGTGATCGCTGCACCAAACTGAAACCACCCAACGAAAATGCACCAACTACGTGCTGTCATGACTGCATTGTGTATTGAATGTTGTTACTTTAATGTTTAATATATCATTGATATGGTAGAACTTATATATTAACTGTTTAAAAAACTAAAGAAATAATAAGGATTGTCTACCCAGCAATATATTAGGTTATTGATTTACTACTCTGTTATATGACTTAATATGATGAAGACTGCCTATGCAATACAAAAGTGTTAACTCAGCCAATATTGATTTTTTTTCTGTATTGGCCGAGTTCTGATCCGGCAAATACAGGATTTCGAAACGTCTCTAGTTTTTAGTTCAAAAGTATTGATAAACGCAAACTTAATGTAAACTGTCGTTTGGTAATATCAATTTGACGCGGCTCGGTACTTGTACATCCCGTCATTGTGTTATTGTGCTATGGTAAATTTTTGTATTCTTGTCTTTCGTTATTGCTAATGTGCTTTTTCAATATGCATTTTTAGTTTTCTTTATTAACATATTTGTTTGTTTTTATAGTTATTAAGATTATAACACAATATTGACTGCTTTTCTTATAACACAATATTGACTGCTTTTCTCCTATTTGTGACATGTTTACCTATTATGTCTGTTTGTTTTGTTCACACATCGATGTCAATATAATGGATTTGTATGCGACTGTCATACAAGTGAGAGGTTTAGCTAGCTATAAGACCAGGTTTAGTCCAAAATTTTTTTACATAAGAAAATGCCTGTTACCAAGTCAGGAATATGACAGTTGTTATCCATTCGTTTGATGCGTTTTAGCTTCTTATTTTGTCATTTGATTAGGGACTTTCCGTTTTGAATTTTCCTCGGAGTTCGGAATTTGTGTTATTTTACTTTTTTTTGATTTATTTCAAGTTCGGGCATCAAGTCGATCTGTAGATTATCACAAAGCTCATGAATTTCTTGTCGACATCAATCTACTGTTTACTTTCGCATCCACAGGCACTTGATTCTATCCATGGGAAGATCCACTATCAACGCATATTTACGAAAAAGTTCCCAACTACTGTTTTCACCTGTCCGCTTCAAAACTTTATTTTGCTGTCAATTCATGCTCAAATTTCTTGTTCCATACCCCCATTCTATTCGTGAAATGTTTTTCTTTCACATGGCATATATTGTAATTACCCTTAGAGTACTCCTTACCTGCAATACACTAGATTTGTCAATAAATTTTCATGTGATCGTTTTTAGTCCGCCTTTACGAATAGAATTGGGTATGGAACAAGAAATTTTAGCATGAATTGACAGCAAAATAACATTCTGAAGCGGACAGTTGAAAAAAGTAGTTTGGTACCTTCTCGTAAATATACGTTGATAGTGGATCTTCCAATGGATAGAAACAAGTGCCTGTGTTTGCTTCTCATGTTTTTGTTAGGTGTATGTATCATATAATTTTCAACCCGAACCAGGCATATGGATTGTTGTAGGTTGACCTGTAATCTATTGTAATTTGTTTAAGTCTTTGTACTTTGGTCATGGTCTATGGATCGTCTTATTTGCAATATATTTAACTCCTAGTTTTATTTCATCCTTTTGTTTCTGAATCTCACATGCAATGGCGGTACCTTTTCAATTACTATTTATGTGTTGCGTCTAAATATGTATTGAAACACTTTATAGTGACTGAAAAGGGTTAACAAATCATCAAAATATGTAGAAGACACTTCCAAACAGCACCAGATCATATAACATTGCAGCTAATAAAAGGAAACTGAGTAACTCAGATTTGTATAGTTAAATTTCAATGTAAATCAAGGTTAAAATCTTGTAAAAGGAAATAAAACACAAAACAAACCCAGGTAAACACTGTAGTTAATTAATAAAGATATCATTAATTGATTATTTCTGTATTGGCCTTGTTATTGGTCATCGGCCAGCTGCATTGGCCTTCGGCTTCGCCACAGGCCAATACAGCAAACCTCGGACCAATAACAAGGCCAATACAGAAATAATTACGTAATAATATCATAATATGTATATTTGACATAAACGTTTGTAATTTTTGGTCTTCAGTGCTCTTCAACATTGTACTAAACTTTGTCCTTTAACAGATTTTAATCAAGTGTTACTGATGATCAAATTGATAATGGAAATGGGGAATGTGTCAAAGAGACAACAACCCGACCAGAGGGCAGAAAACAGCCCAAACTTACCAATGGATCTTCAACGCATCGAGAAAAATCCGTATCAGTAAGCGGGCTTCAGGTGGCCCCTAAACAATAATGTATACTATTTCAGCGAAATTGACGTCACACTAAACCCCGAAACATACAAATGAATCTATTTAAGAAACAAAAACGCTCAAGACTAACAAAGGCTAGAGGTTCCTGACTTGGGACAGGCACAAAACGGCTGTGGGATTGAACATGTATTGTGTGATCTCAACCCTGAGAGTGAATCAATATTAATTCCAAAATAATGCCATCTTTAATGGTTTTACGATACTATCGTAACTATATCTCCTGTGACTAAGTTTGTTTAAAGGTTTGGTTAGCTTTTGAGGTGAATGACGACATTTTTGTGCTTTGTATAGAATATTATTAGGTTATTATACATTTTTGGCTTTCAAATATTCGGCTTTGAGCTTTCCTGATAAATGTAAATTCAGAAAAGCGCTTCGAACGCATGAAATGTATAACGTGTTGTTTTCATATTTTACTTTAAAAGAAGGGATGTGAAAATCGATCTGATGAGTTAATATTAAAAAGACGATGTGGTATAAAGCTTTTTTCAACAGATATTTATTGTTTGTTCTTATGTGTTATCCCAGTTTAGGGGAGGGTTGAGGGCTCACATGCATGTCAACCCGGAAATATTCTTTATTTGCTTGTCCCAAGTCAAGAGCCTGTAGTTCAGTAGTTGTCGTTGGAACATGTCTGTCATATATGTTTTTCGTAAATTGTTTTGTGATGAATGACGCCGTAACTTTTCTCAATTAAAATGCTTACTATTTTTCATATCGGTATGGGTTTTTTCTCTTTGTCAAAGGCCGTACGGTTACCTATTATTGCTCACATTCACTTCATCTGAACTTTAGTGGATAGTTGTCAAATTGGCAATCCTACCACATCTCCTTATTTTTATTGAGTACATCTTATAGTCTTACATATATGAGGACACCTTCTAGTATTATACTCTGAAATAGATAACAAACATCTTAAATCCGACATAGATGGAGACGTCGTATAGTCTTATAGTCTGAAATAGATTACGAAAATCTGCCTTCCAAATACCGTTTCGATCCTTAACATCACTGAAGAGACATTAACTGTCGAAATCCGGATATGGTTTACTTGAAATCTATACACAAAAAAAAAACCAGTTTTACCAGAACATCATAGAGACGCTAGTACAATTCTAAAATTTCCAAACACGGCGCAACGACATACCTAAAATAAAAATAGTAATAATTTGCGATATGAGCTTGCACAACTTTAAAAGTCCAAAGGTGACGACAGTTAAGATGTTACAACAACTGCGTAGAAATACATTCCCAATAAACAGCACTGACCGATCTAAGCCTGTATAATATTTCAAGTGATGGCACTGACCGATCTAAGCTTGTATAATATTTCAAGTGATGGCAGGAAAATAAGTGATGGCAGAAAAATGAGTGAAACATTCTATGTTTTTTCATGTATGCCCTCTGGATAGAATGTTTCACTCATTTTCCTGCCATCACTTGTTTCCAGTAACTCCTTTTCTGTACTAGACTCCTACATTTTTAAAGATTGTTTTAATTATACTAGTTTTAATTACAGGGTTCTACCGTTGTCAAATTTGAAATATTATACAAGCTTAGATCGGTCATTGCTGTTTATTGAGAATGTATTTCCACGCAGTTGTTGTAACATCTTAACTGTCGTCACCTTTTTTAAAGTTGTGCAAGCTCATATCGCAAATTATTACTATTTTTATTTTAGGTATGTCGTTGAGCCGTGTTTAGAAGTTTTAGAAATTGTACTAGCGTCTCTATGATGTTCTGGTAAAACTGTTTTTTTTTGTATAGATTTCAAGATTGCTATAGTTTTATAATCAGAATAGGTTGGTAAAATTCATTTTACATCATGATCATACTGATGAAGGATATCTTTTATCCGAAATATTTATAGTTACATTTGTTCATTTTATTGTTATTTTTGGGTGATGTTGTACCCTTTTAGACTGGTTATATATATATATATATATATACAATGTTATGATGGAAGCAAGGCTGTCACGGAGAGACTGTATACTACAGCTTATCATGTACATTTCTTGTACACAAAAACATTTGACTAAGCATTTAATTCTCTGTATCCTTACCTGGGGTAACGAAATCTGGATTTCTGTTACACTGCTCAGAAAACGATAACTTATTTGTATCATAAAGACATGTGTATCTTGATCTTAAACTGCTCGTGCAATATCTCATTGCCCTTAACGGTCTCTGAGAAAAATCTGGACATTGTAAAAGATAGGAATAAGTTGTAGACACCAATAGAAAAATCTGCAAAATAAAGCAATATAATTTTATTTGGTATAAAATGGTTTAAAATCTGGTTTGCACTTTATCGCAACATATTGCGTACCATACAACACTGTAGTTACAGTTACTAGATGAAATACTCACCCACACACCCATACCAACACACATGTATTTATATATATATATAAATTGCCTCACAATGGAATTCAAATACTATCTTGAAAGTAAATTTTAATTTAATAAAATATTTACAATGCGATATGAAAATAAATGCAATATTTCGGTTAACAAACTAGCTTCATCGCAAGTGCATCTATCCAGGTGAAATCGGATGCACATAAGACATTTTTGCAGCTTACTGATCATATAATTTTGCTGCTTAATAAATAAACTGGAAGAGGTTCAATATTATTCATTTTATTTTCGAAAACTATTGTTGCAGTAAGTTAAGGTTTAAATGTCCATTGACCAATATTACAGAGATATCAGGGACGAGGCCGCATAATGGTTTATTCTTTATCTTTTCTATACATTTTCTCGTCTTTTTCATTTAAATCATTAGGGTTGACCAGTATGGAGCTGGTAGATACAAAAGGTTTTTTTTTCTCAGGATCATTTTTGGAAATACCAACTTCATACTTTAGAACCTGATGATATGAACCTAACAGACAAGATAAGGTACAGGAAAGACAAAGAATAAGTTTGTTATGTGATATCTTCCTTTTTATGCTTATTTTTAGTTGAACAGATTATTTTGATTTGCACTGCCTGACTAACAGGAATAACACGGAAGCAGTGTTTGGCAATTTAAGAAGATAGAAATTGCTGTTTTCCTGTTTTCTTCTTATCTAATTGTATTACATCTATCAGCAGAGTTTTCAAAAAGAAAGGCTTTTCTAAAGTCACTAGGCAATAATTATCCGCCTCTTGGAGATCAGTTACCCAAAAAATTTAATTTACTATTTTCAAAAACGTTTGTAGCGGTTGCTTTAAAAGAAAAAATGATCATGATACTGTCTCTTTGATAATGTTAGCAGATTATTGGCAGGTCTGTATAGTATACTAAATAAATAAAAATAGCTGAACACAGGTCAATGTTATCGACGGTTTTCCACCTGTAGAAAAAAGTAAAATCATAAAAATACTGAACTCCGAGGAAAATTCAAAAAGGAAAGTCCCCAATCAAATGGCAAAATCAAAAAAACAAACACATCAAACGAATTGATAACAACTGTCATATTCCTGATTTGGTACAGGCATTTTCTTATGTAGAAAATGGTGAATTGAACCTGGTTTTATAGCTAGCTAAACCTCTCACTTGTATGACAGTCACATCAGAAATGATGTTTCAGAAAACATGCCTGTCCGCTAACAATTAAACATAATACGACGGTTAATAAGGGTATTATATACGTGACCCCCGAGAATCAAATAACTACCAGAATAGACTCGTTTTGGAAGTGTTCGACAAGATAGTAAAAAGGTAATTTGAACCAATGGATTGTGCGATTTGAAGTCTGTAACTTGGAAAAATATTTTCTTATTTGCCATTACTATCGTAAGACGCTGTAGTGGTGGTAATGCATAAACCCGTTTTGATTCAGACAACTAAGGGATTGCTACATCTATACAGTAAGCATACAATGCCAAAAAACAGTTTGCAAAATCATATAGCACGTTATATATTTGGCCTTCATTTGCCCAGTTGAATGGTTCCTCTATAACGGAGGCAGCAGAAGAAAATCTACTTTTCGAAGTTGCATTTGATAAATTTAAAGCCCAATATAAAAGAAATAAACAAATAAAACGTACATACTGAAATCCTCATTTCCGACGAGATGCAGTTAACTTAGCTTTTAAGTACAGTGTATGAATTACTGACGAACGGAAGATTATAGTTCTATTCAAATATTTGAATTACAGAATATTCATTCTCATATTGGTGTGAATCTAAAATATTATATATTTTACATGGAGAAGAGGAGGACATTTTTATGGTTTAAAACATATTAATTGAAGAAGTTACAACCATCCATGGAACAAATCATTGCTTTGAATTCCGGGTGTATCCAATTATACCAGTCTATCTATCAGTGAGATGTAACGTAGTGCATACAAAGTTATGTAATTTGGGTCAGATGGTTTTACAAATGAATTTTTCAAGTTTTCTGGAGAGATTTATAATTAATGGTAACGAAAATGGGGAATTCTATATGTCTCATAGACAAGGTTTTATAACCTGTATACCAAAGGGAGATAAACAAAGACTGTTCATGACCAATAAACGTACTAAATACCACATATAAATTAGCATTGAACTACATAGCAGAGCGTATAAAATTAGTTCTACCTCAAATTATAATGATATTTAGTTTCATACAGAACTGACTGCTCCTCATTGATTTTGATAAAAGCCTTTGACTCTGTATCATGGAATATAAATAAAAACGTTTTTAGAATTTTTTCAATTTTGGCCCCTCTATAAAACACTGGATAAGGACCTTTTACACAAAAATAAGTTCTGCAGTTTCTCAAAATTATTTTTTATTTATCTTAATTTCTTTGAAATTCAAAGAGGTTGTAGACAAGGAGATCCTTTATCTCTCCATACATCTTTCTTTTACGTGCAGAATTACTTGGAATATTACTAATTATTAGAAATGATAAATAATAAATGCTATAGATAAAGGCAACAGTAGTATACCGCTGTTCGAAACTCATAAATCGATAGAGATAAAAGCAAATCCGGGTTACAAACTAAAACTGAGGAAAACGCATCAAATATAAGAGGAGAACAACGACACAACAAAAACACAACATTAAAATGTAACACACACAGAAACGAACTATAATATAACAATGGCCATTTTCCTGACTTGGTACAGGACATTTTAAGAAAAAAATGGTGGGTTGAACCTGGTTTTGTGGCATGCCAAACCTCCCGCTTTTATGGCAACGTCAAAAACAACACCAAAACGACAACTTCACATGACAGGACCACAATACAAATAAATGGGAGAACCAGTGACGCTCAGATAAAAAAAGTTTGAAAGTACAAAGCTGAAGAGCACGGAGGACCAAAACTTCCAAAAAGTTGCGCCTAACACGGCCAGGATTTTCTGCCTGGGACAAGAACATCCTTATTATTTAGAATAATTTATAATTTTGCAAAGAGTAAATATCATAAAATGACTATATAATAGATATACATGATAAAACCAAAGTGGGGACTAACTACAAAATAAAAACGGATACATTACATAAAACAACTTAATCCAACATATAAAAATACACAGCCGAGTTAGCTAAAGCCTCAACGCACAAAGTGACGTCACATTTGAAATTCTAAAAAAACACACAAAGTGACGTCACATATGAATTTGTAAAAATATTTCTCAAAAATAAGATAGGATTAGGATTGATTCAAGATAGATTTGTAATACTGCCATTACATTTATTAATAACAATGAAAATTACAATACTTATTAATATCAAATTGTGGTAGTAATTAGATAATTAATTGTATTATCTAGCTATGTCGGTGTTTCTTCTGAATCAAACTGTAAACCAAATATATCGTATAAATTTCGTTGAACCAAACTAAAATCTAATAAATGAAGGGGGTGATTAATTATCTATACCATAACACAAAATACGTTAAGACATTTGACAAAATCCGACGAGAACAACAAATATAACATCAAAATTAAATACATGAGTTTGGGATAGAAAGGTACCGTGGCACGTCTTATAGCAATGAGGTTTCACACTCAGCAAAACAGTCACAATCGGGAATAACTCACGTTCGGTAATTTAAAGATCAGACGACGTAATGACAAACCACAATCTAACACGTGGTAAAAATGTCCTTAGTTAGATTTGACAAAGACACATCGTATGAATCAACCAATTGGTGATGGTGTCCGTAAAATTTACGGAGTGTCATTTTTAATCTGTCCTCCTCATAACTTTGTTGGAGCAGTTTCTGCGTAAGGAGCACACTCCTGTATATGAAGTCCATATAGTGTGAACAAACACGAGAATAACGTATCAATTGAGATATGTAAACATCATACGAAGGGGCAGAGGGTATGTTACTGCTGAGAAATGGGAAATTGATAATTGGGAAGTTGAAATCGTCCCGTTTATCATAGATTTTCGTGTGAAGTCGTCCATCTGTGTCAATATTGAGGAAAAGATCAAGGTATGAAGCAGTCCTTCTAGTATCAGTAGTATCCTTAATTTCAAGTTCATTGGGATATATGAGATGTAAGTATTGGCTGAAATATGGGTTATTTAATGATAGAACATCATCAATATATCGGAAAGTAAAATTAAAGAATTTCGCAAGGTGCTTTTTCTTTTTGTCTTTTAGAAGGTTCTGAATGAATTCTGCTTCATACGAGTACAAAAATAAATCGGCCAGTAGGGGTGCACAATTAGTTCCCATTGGAATACCGCCTGTCTGTTGAAATATAAATCCTCCAAACTCAACAAATATATTGTCGATCAAAAAGTCCAGCATTTTGATAATATCATCTTCAGTATATTTTCTGGTAGTGTGTGGTTTTTCACAAAATATGAATTATTGTAATCCAAAACAAGAAGTTAGTATCTACGATTCCCATTTTTATAGAAAAAGCACTGTATAATGAGATGGTGAAGTCGAATTTTCAACTGAGCATGGGGAATAGTAGTGTAAAGCGTAGAAAAATCAAAAGTTTTTATGTTGCTGCAAAATTGCAAAGATTGTGATCGAAGATTAAGCAGTAGATCTTTCGAATTTTTGAGAATCCACATCTGTTTAACACCACTGGTAGAATATATCTCATCACAATATTTTTGAAGCCCATCTTTAACTGTTGAAAGAGTAGTAGTCAGTACTTTAGAAAGATGTTTAGTCGAACATTTTGATGACCCAGCTATGTATCGTTCTTTATATGGAGTTTTGTGTAGTTTTGGTATCCAGTATAATGATGGTAAATTTTCTTCGTTTTCTTTGATGTTGATACCAAAAGAAAGAAGGATAGATTTGTGATTTTGTAAAATTTCGTCCTTGGTAAATGATGATAAAGAATATGTAGGGTTACCAGTAGTTCTATTTATTCCAAGCTCTGTTGTGAGACATTGCAAATAATGGTTTTTACATATGAAGACAATATTATTGGAGGCTTTATCTGCAGGAACAACGACATATTTGTCATGCAAAGAGAATAAAGCATCCACAACATCCTGATTTTTGAAAGGGTTAGTAACTCTTGTGCTCATATTGCATCGTAGTTTTTGAATGCGCTTCTGAATGCATGATCGAATAGCTTTGATCCATTCAGACAAAGTGTCCAGTTCTGGTTCGTCTGGTATCTAGAATATTTGTCTCTCAAAGTGCAGATGACACTTTAATTACACTTGACGGTACACCGGAATATCTAATTGCATCGCTTTGCTTATTACATAAATATGCTGAAATTTCTGGTCTCAATATGAACTTGGACAAGACGAGGTGGTGTGTATAGGTAAAAAAATATAGTCAAGACACAATTTGTGTAAATGGGGATGGGAATTGGGTTCCAGTAGGATTACACTACTAGGTATACACTTTTCGGTCATCTTGCAAAAAATGGAATTTTTAATTATTATCATGAAAAAAAGTGAAAATATAATTACAATTTGGTCTAAACAAACACTAACTGCAATGGAAAACAATAACAGTAATCAAGACACTAGTTATTGCAAAATTAAATCATTTGTTTTTAACATTACAAGCACCATGCTATACTTCTCTTGAACAACTTATGACAACAATGTATTCATTTTTTGGAAAATAAACCCTGACAAGATTAAAAGAGAAATGTTATGTCTGAATAATAAATTTAGAGGGCTGAAAATGTTTGATATTAAAGAATAAATTAAAGGGCTAAAACTAACATGGGTCCGATGGTTACAAAAATTTCAAATGAATTGCAGAAAGCACAGAAAATATCAATATTTAAAACCTAGTATTTTCATGGCCATCTATCAGATGTTAAAACCCTTCTTTGAAAGAGGTGTTTAAAGCAAGGACAGAATTGCAAAATAAACTTATAAAAAAATGAAAAAGAAAGACTCAGTTTGGAATAATGAAAATACTAAAATAGGTAGCACGTCTATTTTCTATAAAGACTGGGCTGATAAAGGTATCGTGTTGATACATGATCAGCCAAATCATGAGAGTAAGCTAATGTCTTTTGAGCAATGCCAAAATATTCATAAAATTAAATCTAACTTTCTTGTTTAAAATGGTGTTATATCAGCAATAAATTCATATAAAAAATCTATCAAACATAATATTTCTCTAGACAGTCTTACTATAATTCATGGACCAATTCTTCCAAATAACATTATAACATTTTTTTTTATCAAATAATAAAGGCTAAAAAAATACGTATATTGGTCTCTATGATTAATAAAAAAAATGTAAACTAGAAAAATGTGCACAGTATGTCCCTTTACTCCACAAAAAGCTCAAATCTTCTTGGGTACATATATAGATTATACATAGGATCATAGGCACACATGAATTTTTTTTCAAAATTACGATAAAAAACAGATAAATGTACTTTCTGCATTGAAGCTAATGAAGATATTCAGCACATGTTTTGGACATACTATAAAAATCCGATTGATGAATGCTGTAAGTAAGAAATCTTTTTTTTTTGGCTTGTTTTGCTATTGCCAAAATTCCAAATTGCTGTGATTTTTATTTATCTGTTTATTTTCTTCTTCTTCTTTTTCAACAATACTGATCATTTTATATTGATATACGTATTATTTGGATATATTATAATTTAGAAATATATATACATATATATTTTAGAAATACGTTAACTAACAAGTACTAACCACATTATTATCTTATGCTTATGGTTAACGAGAACGGGATAACGTTCTGGTAGTTTTTGTATCCAACTATCAAAATTTATAACGTATGATACACATTTAAAAAAAAAGTTATATAATTTGGTTAACAATTGGTATTTTTTCTAACACGTTCGAGATGCTTGTGTGCACCTAGGTGCTGAAAGCGGTGCGAAGGACCGTCTTAAATTTGAAGTCCGGTGAAAGTATCCCTTCTTTTTTTATTTATAGATTGCGCTACCTAAAATTAATTTTATAGAAAATATGACTAAGTCAGTAGAAAATTGATTAAACTGGACATACAAGTCTTACTTTAACGGTAATCCTGTTCATCGAGCTCGAGATACGATCCATGTAAACTCAATATAATTTGAACAAAGTTACTGCTAAATGTGTATCAATTTATCATTATAGTAAGATCTCTTAAATATTGTATTTATAGGTGAAAGTTTTGAATATCTTTTCTATAGATAAGTAATTATTTTAATCTTGTTAAACTCGTATGACCTGACACCATGTCCGTACTTACATTTTTTGCAATGTGTAATGCCATCTTCTTCGCAACTGTATATAGCGTTTTTGAGCTGATCCAATATTGCAACACAATTATAATGAACAGTATACTTACTAATGGCCAATGACATTCAAGCATTGCGATGGTTGACAGTACTTATATCTGAAATTAGATAAGCTGCATATATATTCTCTATAAAATGTTTTTATGTTTTAATGGAGAAACATTTAAAGTAAATGCATGAAAGGTATGAAAAACTCGCAATTTGATGTATTACGCAACATGTCCAACGTGCTATTATATATGGTAAACAGGTGATGTCTTCTTTGACCGGTCAACTGATCACGAACAATAATTAAGGCACCCTTCAGTGAGAAATGCCTCCTTCCTTTACAGTGAACATATACATAATATGCATAATGGAAAAGTTCTGTATACTTGTATTCCCATTATATACATATATAAACATATGTATCTAGAAATAAGTAAACAATCTTTCTTACAAGGGCTTTTGATCTTTATGAAATACTATACTGTACACAAGAAATCAAAGCCTTAAAGGCTGTCAAAGCACTTGCTGCCTAGTTAATGTTTGTTTTGCTTCGCATTACGGGGCGGAGCTATTAGTTTCAGTCGATATACACGCCATCTTGAAATAATTACTTTTCACATATAGATTCTGATTGGTTGCTTTATGATGCAGCTGAGTAACAGTAACAGCTATTGGCTTAAATGAGATAAAGAATTACAGACTTTTCTCGTCCCAGGATAAGACATCAAATGCCGGAAAATTAACTATGTGTATTTCAGTTCCGATCAACTGTCATTAATTCATGTTCTTTTTTATTATGCATATATTGCACACTGAAATTCAATATTATAATATCAATAATTAATACGCGTTTATTTGCTTTGTTAATCTGCAATATGAACGATTTGTTTTGCTCAACAGTGTTCCTATACAATGTTTACAAAAATTCATTATCTGTATTTTATAATTCTGCCAATCTAGGCACATCTCCAGAGAAGCACACCTACAGAGTCGTGTCTATTTGTAAAAGTTTTAATTTTCAACAAGTAAAGTGAACAAAATTTTAAAAGCATGGGTGTACAGTATAACGCACAAGCTTAATGTAAATCCATTTTATATCAATCAATATCTAAAAAAAAAAACACATTTCCAATACTGAATCAACAACCACATGCACACCTATTACCTTAAATTAGGATAGAGCGAAGCAGTCCAAAGCTTTTTAGAAAGGTCAAACTTGTGTTATTTTTATTTTTCATCCAAATGTAAAAGAATTAAACGTGACAGGAGACTTGTCCTGTGAGAAGTAAGGATGACTTTATATCAATAAAAGACTTTCCAGCAGAAAGTCATATTTAAAATGTTTTACATTTGCCAGGGGGACGACACGTTTATCCTGCTTACAGGGAAGGCAAATATATGTGCGGAAATGTATAACACCCGAAGAAATCATAATAGATTATCCCCTTGTAGAGTGTTTATTACTTGGCAATAATTTACATGACAATCCATGGACATAGCTTCATTAAATTTAACCATTCAGTTGATGATTTCGACTTTCATGACGCGAGTGCTTAGTTTTTTTTAAAAGATCCATTTATTTATACATACCGATTTAAGCGATTAACGATTTTGAAGATGGGACCGGATTCTGCAATTTTTATAAAATGCATGTTAACTGTCGATTAATGTGGGAACTAGCTTAGGCTTTATCCATTTCATCACTAAGGCCAGGGTTTTTTTTTTATTTGTTGGATTACAGAAATTTCACATGGAAAAGTCCGGTCGGTCGGGAAAAAATATATCTTACAAGACATAAATATATGATAAATAATTATATATTGCAGCTTACTAACAATATTTTTGGTATGCTACTATGTCATCATTTCTCAAATCTTAGTCCCAAACATATATTTCTCAGCTGTTTTAAACATACAATATGTGCCATCGTCACATATTTTTGAAAAAAGGGGTATCACGGCCAAACATAAAATTAAATCGTCATTTCACGAACAAGAAAAAAAACAGCTCCACGTTACTTTTTATCAACTTTCAGAAAACACGATGAATAATGATCTTCAAGCACGAAAACATGTGAAATAAAATTGCAAAAAACGTCGTTCGCATATAAAAGTAAAAAACGAAGTAGACTCGTCTACTGGAAAGACAGGATATCAGTTTCTTAATTTTTCATGCATTCCCATTGTTGATATCCAAATGGACGATCTGTTTTTTTTTTAATCTATGTTACATGAAAATTCCAAATTGTTTGAGAATATCTCTTACTCTTAACTTGGTGTCTTTCACGTTTGGACGGGTCCATTTCATCTATAAGATTTTAATCTTACGAAATTATGGCCAAAAAGGAAAACGAACTTCTTGTAATGTGTTTCTAACACAGGTTTCGTTCCGCAAAATTATTTGCGCAAACAACATTTCAAGGTCAGTTATGATCAGTCTGTTTTTAGATACGTATATCTAGAGAAATTATTTTCAATTGCCTAGAGGGTCATTATGACATTTGACCCTGTCATTATATCATTTGTTTACAGAGTGGAGTCTATCAGTATCAACAGCAGTTACGGAAATCTTTAATAATAAATAACAGGGCCTGTAATATCAAGAAAGTATTAAAAACAGGGTAAGTGTAATCAGAATTCGCGTAAACTGTGCTTCATTTAATTTAAAACAAATAATGCGAGATAAGATTACATTACTATAACGTGCGTAGTGAGTTTACGATAATTTTATGTATGAACGATAATTTTATGAATAAACAAGAAATCCTTGAACTCTTTAAACATATCTCGAATTAAACAACATAAAACCGTATAAGAGATAATTCAGCCAAATATTCAATATCGAATCAACAACTGACACATGGTTCGATTCTTTGTTGAAACATCTCAAGAACGAAATCGCAGGTATACAAATTCACTTTTTCACTCGGACTTTTAAGTGTTTTTGATAGTCAACTGGTTGTCCTCTTAAAAACAATAATACATCTACAAAAACATATGTTGAAACCTCACATACCGACTAATTTTTTTTCTACTGTTTCAATTAATGTATTTCATTAAAAAACATGCACGGGATTTTTACGAAGAATCTGCTCAAAACACTTTTGCTTGATCTGGGTAAAAAAGATGGCTATATGCCATAGCATGAAAGCAATTGCTTTAAAAAACTACTCGGTATATAATTATATGACGAAAAAGTGTACTAAACAACACCAATATTTAAATAAGGAAAACAGTAAATACAAGCACTATATACGTCTTAACAGTTGACACCTTTATGACAGACATTCTCCAGTGGATAACACGTGGTAATACAAGGCTAACACCATAATATATGTGTAACTCGTCTCAATGTAGCCCAACAATGTAAGATTCTCCAATTTGTGTTTGCAAATTTTTGACTTCAATAATCCGGTATGTTCAATAACATGAGGTAAGTCAGGTATTGATTTTTTTTAAACCAGAACGAAGTATGGTAATAATGAATAATAGTTCTAAAAGGAGTAATAAAAGAAATCACCAAAATGTGCGTTGCGTTTTTAACGTTTTTCAGTATACATAATTTTTACATTTTACTACCTGTTTTAAATTCATGTTCTGACTAGACTATAAAAAACAAAATAGAAAGAATGTTAGTAACATCAATTATAATTTAAATATAATAAGCTTTAAAAAATGTACATACTTTCCTTTGTATATGAAAACAAGACATTTTTTAAAAGCCAACAGAAAAATTATATTCATACAATATTTTGTAGGTCAGGTTACGTACTCTATAAATGTATACATCCACTCACACGTATATCAAGAAGTGTATTATGCATGAAGAATTCTTTCGCAATTTTCAGAGAATTTGTATTGGGACCATTTTATTTTATCTTCACTATGCTAAAGATAAATCAGATCGGCGTTATACTTACCAGTATCAACAGTTTTGCATGATATTACAGTAAATTCTTCGATAGCAGTATTTGAAAAAATATATCACAACGAAATGTCAGTAAAATAAAAGGCATCAAACCACTATATATCTTCCTGCTACATTGCTTTATAGGTTAAATCCATCAATGTCTGGCATTCATAGCTATTTTGTCTAAAATTAAAATAAAGCGACAGTCGTTGTCAAACAATACTCAAACTAGATATGTGCTGAAAATTCAACCTACCTTTAATTATGAATAAGAGCACACTGATTCGAAGAAGTCCGAAAAAAACAAATACAAGTATTCCTGAACTGAGTGCATATGATGTACCCTTTAAATGTATTAACACACAAACATGAATACCATATATCATTCATTCTAAAGTTACAGTTAGTTCTACAGGTAATAATTTATATTGTAACCCTTTAACGTTATCTTGAATATATTGAAAATGCACTTAAACTTGTCCTATTTATACGATAATGCATTACATCCGAGAATCAAAACATGTCATGTATTATAATTTCCACATTGTCTCAATTGTTGCAATTTGAAAAAAGACATAATGAAATATTCAAAATCGATTTAACTTGTAAAAACGAACAAGTAGATTACATGGCCTTAGTTAATCGCAAAGATACTTTATGAATTCGTGTTACTAGAATTGTTAATGTATTAAACAACTCTTTTATTATTTTATTGTTTTGTACTTAAATCAGGCCGTTTGTTTTTCTCATTTGAAATGTTTTACATTTGTCGTTTTGGAGCCTTTTAAAGCATACTATGCGGCCTGGGTTTTGTTCATTGTTGAAAGCCGTATAATCAGCCATAGTTGTTAACTTTAATATCATTTGAGTTGGGGAGAGATTTTTCTCATTGATAATCATACAACATTTTATCATTCTTATGTATACCCCTTTGCAGAGTACCTTTACAATATTAGAATGTGTGGATGTTAGTTTTGTCATTACATATACTTCTTTATATATTTACACACCTTCTTGTATCCGAACTGTCCAAATGTATATACTGTTTAACCTGCATAATAACCTATATCCAATCTAAGTGCCTAATTTATGAAGAAAAGGTCTGATGAAATATCAATTATCAAATTTTCTCGGAAAAACATGTAGCTGTTGGAAGTAGCATGCCTGTTTTAAGAATGTATTTTAGATAATATACTTATCTTATATAATGTTTAGATTTAGAACACAAACAGAAAATAACTAGAGCAGTTATTTATAGATATTAACTAAAAAAAATTTCCTCTTATTCTGTATTTAGATATGATTGTTTACCCTACTCGTCTATACAAGTTTGCAAATGATTTAACGGATACGTTTTAGAAAAGCGCTTCAGAAGTACGAAATGTATAAAAAGTTTATTTCATTGTTACGAATAGAGGTAATACATACAGGTTAACTGAAACAAATTGGTTTTATACACAAACAACTATTTTCAACCTTAGGTTGCATCGTGCATGAAGGGTGTACTTATAGCACATGACCTTTGCCAGTGATAATTTGCAATGGAGCTGTCATGTCGATTCTATTTAGACTAAACTTAATATCATTTCATATTCATTCATTATCAACTTTCATATTTACTGGGATTATTGATATCTAGATCTGTCCAAACGTTTCATTATGAGTGGACGATGACCTGATAACGTCCCACGCGGTATGTTCAATATGATCCCAAGCATTAGAACAAACTACATAATGTAAGCCAATTGAAGAAAATAGGAATTTCCGTTATGTCTATCTGGAGATTGGACATTATGCGACAACTTTATTTTGTAAATCAAAAGGACATTCAAAATGCAACACAAAGTGATCCCCTTGTTGCTCCGGAACCAAATGATAGTAATGTCAATGATGTGCCAGTCGATTCCAATGAGCAACTTTTCGTGAAGACTAACCAACACGCAAATGAGAATAACGGACCGACACGTACAGAAGAAATGCTGAAGGACAATACTTCCGCGTTTAATTTGTTTTTACACAGTTTGATTTAGAGGAAAAGCCGACATGGTTAGAATATACAAATATTTACACCATTACTAACACAATTCAATATTTATATACTTGTTATGGTTAGAAAGAAACATTAAAAACACAATCCCAATCTATATTCAATTTTTAGAACTTTCTTTGTATGTTGGCGTTTGTTTTTGTAGCAGTTCAGTGTTTCTGTTTTCCTCTTAGTTGATGTGTTTCCCCCGGCTTTGTTTTGTGACACGGATTTGTTTCAGTTAAATCGATTTATAACTACTTATCAACGGTAAACTACTATTGACTTTATTTATGTCGGCAAACGAAGCAATGTCGTCGATGTCATCTATGGTTGTAGGACTTCTTGCAAATGAAGATGCTCCAACAAGCAGCAACAATAAATGGGCTACGTGTCGACTTCCCTGCGCAAACAAATTTTAGAAGGTAAGTACATAAACTTATCATTTCTACTTTATCCAAATAACGAGGTTCCCAAAACACGCTCTGTCTTTTCTGAAGGGCTAACTGTAAATATATCAGCTCCGAGGGATCCTCGTCTATTGAAAAAAGTCTGACACTTGATGAGTCAACAAGGCTTTCAGGAAATTGAGGAACATCATTTTTAAAGTGTACTTCCAACGTCTAGATGAACTCGGTTAATAAGAGGCCGATATTAATGATATTGCCTATCATTTTGGACCAAGCTTTTATCGAGATCACAAACTATTTTCGGCTTATGCCGCCGATGCTATAATAGAACTTGTAACATGAATGGTAATTTTTCCTTTGATCTTCAAGTGAGTTAACTCCAGATATCTTTAGAGGAGTGCGTTAACTGAATGATTTTTTAGTTATTGCATTCTCCAGTCCCGCCGTGTGTCGCTTGTCATAGGAAAAGCAAAGAATGGGAGGAGCTTAGACCAGTGATCTAACTTCCATCTCAAGTTTATTATTTCACTGTCTAGCTCCGCCTCTTTGGCCTAGTAAACAATGAAATCAATGATCATAAAATGTCCTAATAAATTTTAAAAGAAATGCATACACAACAGTAAATTAAAAAAAAATCGGGAAAAAGGGGGAGGCTTCCCCTTAAACTAGCCAAACTTGTAAACCTAACCCTAAATAACAAATGGTTTCCTATACTTGAAACAAATGAATGCCTGAGGAAAGCTACAAAAAGGAATAACGTGGTCTATAAAAAAGAGGCAATATTAATGAATTGATGGATACTTGTTTTTATTATGTCAAACTTAATATTCCAAAAGATTGTCACTGGATTTTTAGTCGTTTCATTTCCTCCAATGTTTAAAGTAATATTTCCTTGATTTAAGCATGCTTAAAATATTTATTTCTGGATCTGACTTACACAACCAAAAGTCCCTCTATTAATCGATCATTTTCATGGTGTTTGGAAAGGCAGAATACCTTCACAATATGTTTTAAAAAGTTTTCATCTTTAACTCTTCTAAAACTACAAGTCCTATTGGTTTTGAAAGCAGGCAGCATGGTTTACGTCTAACAATATTTGCATCAATCCCCTCAAGAAGTTTCGCCCAGGGAGGGGGTTTAGACCATGATGAAAGTATCATGGCAACAATTCGTTTACATTTCAATCTATCATTAAATCAAATCCTACTAAAAAGTCCGATCCATGAGTTCATTGTTTGAAAATTAGAAACATTTTGTCATAGAAAGCGCCACTATTTGATTGACATACTTAATTCATGAAAAGTACAGTTAAGTTTAACTCCCTGCATGTGTCATCGGCCATTAATTTTACAAATCATATATAGCCACGCCTTACTCATTAAAATATTCAATCCACTCAAAGCTACGCTTTTCGTGAATTAAATACGTTAATTCGTAAAAGGCGAGCTATATATAAAAAATAACATCGCCATTAATTGGGGGAAAGGTAGACGATCGTCTTTTGCATTTTTTAATGAATGGTTTGCAAAGTAGAGAATGCGAACTCTGTTGAGATTATGACCACACATAAAAGTTCTGTCAAAAACAAGTATACCAAGAAACTCCTTAATACGCCCAACAAAACACGACGAACGCTCGCGTTGTAGATAAAACAAAAGATAGGTATGGGAGGAGCATAGTTCAAGTAGAGGGTTATGGTCTTTGCAATAACTTCAATTATGGAACATGCAAAGTGAAAGATTGTAAATTTACGCATGGGTGTCTTAAGTGTAAAAGTAGAGGTCATGGCTTTAAGTCATGTGCTAATAATAACTAGGATACCAGTAATCAAGACAAAACTGCTGATAAGCTGAAAGTCAAAACAGCTAGGTGACTCGTAGTTTCCATTATCTCACATCAACGTAAATAACCTTAAGGAAGAATTAACAAAACATCCAGATTTGTCAAATTTGTAAAATATTTTTTAGACGGGTTTTGATAGGACAGTGTCGAAAACAAAATTACCAACAGTTGAATTTAAAAATCTACAGTCAGCTTTCCGAAATCCTGGCATCGTTGATAGTATAATTAAACAAGAGGTTGATAAAGGTTATCTCATGGGACCATTTCAAAAGCTCTCTTTTGATAGGTATCGTGTGAACCAAATAGGGTAAGTGGAAGGCAAAAATTTGGGGGAAAAGAGGCTAATTGTTGATTTGTCGTCTCCACATGAAAGTCAAGATCATTCAAGTATTAATGATTTAATCGATAAAGATATATGCTCGCTGGCATATGCTATCAACGCAATTAAAGAATTCGGACGATTTTCAATATCAAATAAGGCTGGCATGGCCGATGCATTTTAACAATTAGGGATCAAAAGGGAGCAGCATCATGTACACTGTACCAAAAGGAGAAATTTATATTACTATAATGTGCGTCTTTGTTGTCGCTCACGATCGTCACCTAAAATTTTTGACAATTTTATGGTCGCAATTTTTTGGATAGCCAAGAACAATTACAATATTCCAGTCATACTACATCTAATTGATGATTGTTTAACTATTCAAGTAACTGACCCTTCAGGAGACAGAACTACGGCAATTATCACCTTAATTTTTAATAGGTTGAATATACCATTATCTAAGAAAAACAAAGGGCGATCAAAGGTGCAAGATATTATGAAACTAATGCGTAGACTCACTTGGTTAGCTGCAATTAAAACAATTTCACATTTTCAAGTAAGCAAAGCCCTGGTGTTAAAAATGTGCTTCTTTGTTAAATATTTATTTGTTTTTGTTGTGATTAAGGTTGTGACACGGTGTTGACTGCTGTACCCCTATTTTGACATTTTTACCTATTATGTCTGTTTGTTTTATTCACGCATCGTTGTCAATATAATGGAATTTGATGCGACTGTCATACAAG